TTAAGTGATTCAAGATATTAAAATTTGATTTAATTGCTACAATTATTATAATTTTTAGAGAGGTCTCCTATTTATAGCCATTGAATTAAATTTCAACGGCTTGGATCACCTGATCCTGAACCTTTGATGGGAGAGATCCGGACCATATCCTCTTCCACCAAACCCTAGTTCTTGGTATCTCACAACTCTCACAATGTTTCAAAGTGTTTCTCTTGTATTTCATTTACAAAAAAGAAAACCCTGTAGTCCTATCTACAAGTAGGTTTTAGGGTACAAAGGAATCCTTCTAAGTAAGCTGATACCCTTCTAAAAGAGGAGTAGGATTCTCTTTCCTTCAATTTCCCTGTTCTTCCCTCCCGACATCTCACACTCTCCACTCCGTCTCTCTATAAAAAATGTCAACACAATATGTTGATGTAATTTAATCGTGATCGTTCAAATAAGTGATGAGAGAAGAGTAGGGAAAAAAAGAAAGAAGATAATCCTACTCTTCCGAAATAAGAGTTAAAAAAAAAAAAGAAAAAAAAAAAGAAAACTAAATCACGAATCGGATAGGTCGTCTAGCTATCACGACGCATCGCCCAGCACCAATAAACACGCATGAAGTCTCTGCCTGGATCCGACAAGTAGGCAGGCCGATCAATCCTACGATATTCTACACTTGCTTCCTTCTCGAGTTGCTACTTGCTATTCCAATACTGAATGCATCTGCATGTCTAAAGCTTTCAAGAACCTTTTGCAACAATTAGATGGCGAGCCAACTTGACAACAACATCCTTTCATTTATTTAGTCCGGAAGATAGTGTTAAGCCAAACATGGAAAAGGGGATCAATAATTCAAGCCACGCTACATGATAAACTGAAAATAGGTCGAAAATTCAAAGCCAAACAATAAATTTGGACGCCAAAAGGTCAATAATTTAGAAACCCTTGTGGTCCTAGAAGAGTAAATAACCAATCCGGAGTCCACAAGAGTCTTTTGAGTCAACCCCTAACCAAACACCTTAATGCCCATCCGAGGAAAAAGAAAAGGTCTTCAGAGCACTTCCAGTGTTGGTAGGTCTCCCGGACAACTGACTATTGCATCCCCTTTAGTGAATAGTAATTGCTTTTAATAAACAGTAATTGCATTTTGCATCTCCATCCCTAAACTGAATAATCATAGCAATAGTCAATAAAATATTAGTATTTTTTATTTTATAAAATAATAAAAAATAATTTTATTTTTTATTTCGGATATTATTTTTAATCGGTCTCATTGTATCACGTGTCATTAAATAAGAAATTACAACACAAAGTATTTGAGAAAATATAAAATTGTGGTGTAAGTTGAAGATAATGATAAGATATTTATAGAAAAATTAAATCATTTTTTATTAAATTTTTACATTTTTTTTTTAATTTTATGCCTCGATGACAAAAAACTGCACATAACCGTATACAAAACCCCGCTCATATCGTGAGAAAAGAGGCTTTAGGACCAGGATTTTTTTATTAGAGTAAACAATATATGATTTTATTTTATTTTTATATTTTATTTCTGTTGGTAAGAAATAGTAAATGCAATTTCTTTTTGGCCGGGAGAGGGAGAAAGGATCATATCATGACGCTCATTTCCTTTTGTTCCAGTTGTCAAGAACCTGAGGGTGTTTATAATGGCTGTGCAGGTGAATGACTTTATTGCTCACACTCTCTCCCTCTTTACTACGTTAGACTTTCCGACCTAGCAAGCCACCGACAGTCCTTATAAATGCCTGTACTCTTCCCTCATCACTCTAAAATCTCATATCCCAAAAACTCTCTGTGGATATTTCTCAAAAATCATAAAAACATGGTACAAACAAGGAAGTTCAGAGGAGTCAGGCAGCGCCAGTGGGGCTCTTGGGTGTCAGAAATTCGCCACCCATTACTGTAAGTTCACCATACTCTCACATTCTTCCATTTAATACTTCATCCACCCCCATATCATCATTTTTAACTCCAAACACTAACAGTCGGATGGTAACATGTCAGACTGTCTGACGAGAAAGAATCTAGTAACATAACATGTCAGATTAACAGCGCTACTCGATCACCATGCTATTGAAATGATTCTTACTTTCTCCATTGTTTTTGTTTTTTTATTTTTTTGTGTGTTGTTGTTGATGGTTTTAGGAAGAGGAGGGTGTGGCTAGGGACATTTGAGACAGCAGAGGCAGCAGCAAGAGCATATGACCAAGCAGCAATTTTGATGAACGGACAGAATGCCAAGACCAATTTTCCGATATCAAACAACAATTCCGACCAAGAAACGAAACCAGCCAGCGGCCAAAACACTCCATGGTCTCCGAAAGCACTTTCCAAGCTGCTCAGCGCCAAGCTCAGGAAATGCTGCAAAGACCCATCTCCCTCCCTCACTTGCCTGAGACTCGACAATGACAATTCCGACATTGGGGTCTGGCAGAAGCGCCCTGCTGGATCGCGGGCGAGCTCCAATTGGGTCATGAGGATTGAGCTTGGGAAGAAGAAGAAGCAGAGTTCTGATCATGATCATCAAGAGGAATCACTGTCGTCCTTGACGTCATCATCAAGTTCATCGTCAATGGTGGGGTTGATTGAGGGTGGAATGAGTGAGGCAGATCAGGATGAAGAGGATAAACTTGCAATGCAGATGATAGAGGAGTTGCTGAATTGGAATTATCCAATGCCTTCAGCCACAAGTAATGTTCACGAAGGAAATAATATTTAAGGGGAATTCTATATGCCGGAATTCTTAACCGTTAAGTTCTTGATAAAAAAATAATAATTGGAATTTAACAGTTAAAAATTTCGAAGTATAGAATATTTCGAAGTACAGTAGAAATATCGATAGATATTACCAACCAGCTGAGCTGCTTGAATTCCTAGTGTTATTAGTCCTCGAAGTAGGGAGGCAGTTAAGTGCTCAATTTGCAGCTACGTACAGTAGTTAATTAAATCATAAAATGCCACCACACTGTTGTTTTGTGATTGGTGAACAAATTGTAGAAAGATTTGTAGATATTTGTCAATTATGTGTGTTTGGTTGTAGCAATACTTGGTTAATTTCAGTATTTGTATAAACTACATCTATATATTAACTCGAACGATATTATATTACTCTTAAGAAGTTACTAAAAAGTGGTTTGGGTAACAAGCGAGCATGCCTACGGTTCCAAATACTAGGAACCGAAATCAAACCGTTATTTTAACTTTTGGTCTGATTTCAAACCAATGGAAACCATTTCAAAATTGCAAAAATTAACCGTTCAATAGAGTTCGGTTCAATCCGTATTTCTGTTTGGTTTTCGATCCCAAATGCCCAACCCTACATTATTATATGCACATAAATAAATTCTGCCTAATCGGAAAACTCAAGAAAGAAGGAATCACAAAGCACACAACTTGTTTATTTACCTGCTACTTTCATAGAAAGAATAATTGAACTTTGACTTTGTCCAGTACATTTCAATTAAAACCCTAAAAATGATTCAATTACTTCAAAAGATGAGAAAAGAATTGTGAAGATTGTTCTCTGGTTGTACTTACAGACAAATGCAGAAATAGAAACACAGTAAAAATAATTTGGCTCATGAATGAACTGATGATTTCCATACATAGGTTAAATCTAAATTTGGTGTATAAAGCATCTCTACTATCTGTTTGAAAAAAAATGAGATTCACATATATTGGTGGACTCTATCAAAGATGTGATACAAATCTGATACGAAAATAATATTAATTATGATTAATTATTTGAAAATAACATCTGTTTAAGCAGTGTTAACATCACATACCCATCATATTTTTTGTTTCAACATCAACTTAGAATTTCTAATTTGATTGACAAGCATATATACCACATGCTTGGACAATTTTAGATTTCTACCGCAGAATATCTGAAGAGTTATTTTACTGTAAAACATATTTGTCTTCCCAAAAAGAAAAAGCTCTAGCGGTAAATCCATTAGAACCGAAATTCTGGAGTTTTTAGTTCCCTTGGGTAAAAGGTTGTGTTTAACAAAGATTTACGAGGAAGGAGACATTGAAAACACAAGTGCAAAGAGAAGCTCATCATGTTGTGAATGACGAATACAATACCCGAGTTTCATAATTCAAATGAAAGGAAAGAAACCCAATTTCCTAAACTCTTCCCAACGCATTCATGGATTTTTCTTCCACTAATTCAGAGGGAGAAAAAAAAAAAAATGAGAGTCGAACTCCTGTCGTAAATACCAAAATGAGATTTTTTTGAAGTTAATCAACTACCAATAGTTGAAGAGGTGAAGAGAAGCAGATGTGGATTTTTCAAGGCAGCGAAATAGGACAAACACATCCAGTGGTGTGAATTAGAAAGAATTAAGACCACATGAACTGCCGCCCAAACGTCCGTTGGATGACAAAGCTAAAAGAGAAGGGACTGCCCTTGGGTAGGTGGGGATGGTCAATGACCATCAATGCTCCATACATCAAAGAGTACTAATTAATGGGTTTTTTTCAGTGCATGTGATTGTCGTCAAATGGGAAGTTAACGCAGATGTGACAGTGATATTTGTAGTCACAGATAAATTTTAGCTTTAGTTTTGCTAGCGTCATTCGTGAGCGAACCTGCATACGAGAAAATTTTGGCTGTCGCTGCATTCTAATTTCTAACCCCACCCGCATCAATGGTTAGAGTCACTCACATGGACTCACGTGCGTGAGCACATACTCTGTTTCGTCGTGGATCCGTGCAGAGTCTCGGAATAGAATCAATGTTCTGCTTCGATCGTTTTTAGAGTGTAGATTGAATGGAGTAGTAACTACTCTGTTAGAATAATGTTGATGGATTAGCTCGATAATTACTGGGGTGACCGCTAAATTTTGAATTTTCTGGTTTGAAAGAAACCATTTATTTTGAATCATTTAAATTTGAGATATTAATTATTTTCTGGCAAATGACAAATAAAACTGAAATCTTTCAAATCCCAAAAGTAAAAATAAGAAATTACAGACTGTAAAAGTAGGAACCCAGAACTTCTATTTCGGTTTGTTTCTGAAGATATCAACCAGTAGCTTCAATGAGTCATACTTCCCAAGGAGAAATCAAAAAACACAAGATTAAACATAAAACTTAGCTAATAAAATTGGCAGAATGGCCTTGTCGCCGTGATGTTTAACGGAGAGACATGGGACAACTCTCAAGGGTTTCCGGATGCCATAATAAACGGCTCTTAGGTCTTCCAATGCTGGTCACATTCGATCAGCTAGGTACTTCGACAAAGAGTTGATAGGCTTCGAAGAATCAATATGTTCCACTCCGCGGCGCTTGATCTTGATTCGTGCAAGGTAGTCGGCTGTAATCCAGGCAAAGCTCAACAGCGCCACATTTCCAGCAACATCTGGCTCTTGCAAATGGATTGATCTTTTCACCCATTTCGGGTGGTAAGTCACCTGGTACCATGCCGATGCCTTCTGCTCATACAGTATACTCCTCTCATCATCAGTAAGAGATTCAATATTTGAATCCCTATTCTCAAAAACTAGCCTGAATTCTTTTTTAAGAGCACTGTAGGATTGCTTCAACCGCTCCTTCAGCTCTCCTTGTTTCTTGCTGTTGGATTTGGGGATGGACCAAACATGCCCAGTAACAATCTCTTCTTCTCTCTTAACTTTGTATTGCCCCATTAGACCCTTCACCTGGCCATCATAAGAGCACTTTTTCTCCCACGCATCAGCTATAAAATCAGTGGCTCCAGGAATCTCCAGATCCATATCATATGGGATGTCACCGGGAGTATAATTCAGCTCCAAAGAGGTTGCCATTTCTTCGTCATAAGCATCTCTAATGTGGCGATACAGTCGCCCCAAAATTTTAGTTGACTTGTACGTCTGGTACTCCTCTTTCCCCATGAAATCAGGGTACATCTTTGGCTTTAGATGTGCTGGCAAGGCAACAGTCTTTCCAGTTTTCGGAAAATCAACTGCTAATGCTGCATACTCAGCTAATAGAAGGCAGTTCTCATCCATAGCCCCATAATCACTACGGTCAGCATGAACCACATGTGCATTGCATATAGCCCCTAAGTTCTCATTCACCATGTTTTTCGCAAAAAAATTTATAATATCCTGAGGTATAAACATAATGACGGTAAGAGAATCAAAAGATGTCCATGAAAAACTTTGGGACCAAAATAAAATAGTGTAAATCAAACAAGAGAACACAATTTATTTAGAATGTAAACCTAATAAATGAAGAACAAACCACAAAGGAAACATCACTTGATTCACTTTCAGACAATACGTCATAATTCTGCCACATCTTGTTCATATAACCTTTCCATCAATGGATTAAGTAGAAGAATAGTTATCTTGTACAAAAAAGAAAACCCATTTGCCAGGAAACTTGACATTGACAATTCATGTTGATAGAATATAAAACAATTATTAACTTGCATTTCATGTTGCTAGATATATTGTAGGAGTGTGAACATAAAATTCTGTAGTCCCCATCATACCAGCTTCAACTTCTAGGAATAACGCTAAACTGAAGAAGTTTATGACACGCATCCTTAATAGTACAACCATAACCAAAATGGTGGCATCAAATGTGTTTCCAGGGAATTAGTTGATACACGCATCCTTGATGGTACAACCATAACAAAAATGGTGGCATCAAATGTGTTTCCAGGGAATTAGTTGATAGAAACTTACTCCTATAGAGCATAAAACAAAACAACTCTTGTGAGCATAAACTATACATGATATCAGACTGATGACACTATCAACTCTAAAAGAAAATTCACATATCTGATAGACATGCGGTTTTATTAATCTTTGTTGTTGAAGCATGCAAGATAGTGAAAATGCTGTTTGTCTAAGAAAAGAATGGCATATTGTCCATTATAGAAAGCAAGCATGGAAAGAGAAGACAATTAATCATGTTCCAAAATATTCACAGAATCTTGAAGACACCCAATGAAAAGGGCAAGTACCGTCTGAGTTATAGGACGCCCATGAGGTTTGGCTTCTTGAGGATCATACAACATAGGAGTCCAGCTCTTCTTACTTGGGGGAATAAGATCTTCATCCCAAGTAACAAAGTAAAGGTCCCCATCGAGGTCACTTCCAGAAGCTTCATTTGTGTGGGGCCTATCACCCTTCCGAGGGAAAAGAATGCAATCATGCAAGTGGTGTAACTCAGGGGCATCAACTGCTTCAAGAATCCTTATATCTCCGGGATGAAGGCAGGGATTCTTTGCTATCACAACAAGCCCCTTAATCACTTGAAGATTGTTCTCAATCTTATCAAACCTAGAGCCATGATTGGCAAAACAATTCTGTAGCGACGGGGTAGACACTCGGACAAAGCACTGGCCTTGCTCAAGTACCCCTAGCTCATCTAGACATCCCATAAGCCATCTTCCAGAAGGAACAAAAATCCTAGCCTTTTCCCTAAGGCCCCAGAGCTGAGCAGCTCGTATACAGGTTAACATGCCCCGTAGATGAGGTTCTGTCTGGGGCTTGAAACCAGCACTCAGCATTATGGCTGCTGCATTTCCTTGCTCAGCGCAAGAGCCAGTGAGAACATCAAATGCCACATCCGTGTCCACAAGCATCTGGTTTAACCTTAAAACCATTCTCTCCTGCATTCTCCAGAATATCTCATCTGGAACATCCAGTGCAGACAGTAATGTGATAATCTGCCTGTTCAGAAAACCCGGCTGCAACCTAGTCCAAGAACAAATTTCCAGTATAGTATGGCATGACTCAAACTTGTTCATACTAGGCCTTAAAGAAAGCCGGTGCCCATCACCATTGGATGGCCAACAAGCCACAACCCCTTTACAGCCAGCATATCTTATTTGATATGCACAAGGTGGATCTCTGTCAAGTTTCAACTTCTCAGCGACTTTCATTGCAAGGTCAGGAGTAATCTTACCAATCCCATCAGAAAAATCATACTTACCCTTCTTGATATCTGGAAGGGCAAAATTAACTTCACTTAATGGAACATCTACTGTTGCATATGTAGACGAAAAGCATAGGCCCATCCTAGCAGCACATTTAGCAATATTTTTGTTGGCGAACTTCCCCATCCATGTTTTGATGTCAAGGATAGTAATGTTCATGCCTTCAGCAAAAAACCAGGCAGAACGGTCCCTCAATTGATTGGATGAGAAGGCCAAGAAAGAGTACTTACGACTACACAAGTAAAAGCCGTCAGTCAAAATTGTCTTCACCCTTTTGAATACATTTGTCTTCTGAGGAGAGGCGTTCGTCATAATTTCCTTCACAATAGGAGCAACATAAGAGTTCAGAACATGAGAGTTGATTGTCTGCATACCTTCATCCATAAAGGTAACCCTTAAGAACCGATCAGCAACTTCCTTATACTTTCTAAGAACCCTATTGGAAAGTTCAACCTCTGGTGGAAGACAATAGGCTTTAGTTGGGGTGATAATCAACCTCCTAACTTCAGAAATGTCATCCAATCGCTTAGGATCCTTGAAAAGCTTGGGGTTCTTCAGCAACCAATCTTGAACAACTTTCAGTCTCTTACAGGCATCAAATTCTGGGTGCTTGTAAGTGCACAAGTGCTTCAATGCAGCCAAATTAACCTCCTTTGGTTGGCTCCTCAGTAAATCAAAGAAACTGTCCGACAACTGGTGCTGATTAAAAATGCCCTTGTGCATTACTGCATTAACCAAGAACATTATCTCAAACGAAATATCATCCTTATAATGAATACAGAAGAAAGGATCTGAAGCAGGCATTCCAAAATCAGGTTCGTTTTGAACCTTAGGAGGCCTTTTGAGGCAAACCTCCCGCACCCTGCATTCTCGAAGATAAGCCATAGTCCTCTTCAACTTTGCACCATGTCGGGGGGGTATTGAAACTCTGTAGCAATTACAACGCCCAATAGCCCCACTAGGAGTAAAATCTGTCGTTCTAATCCAAGGATCATCATCATCCAACAGATTAAATGGGACTGATTGGTCAATGTCATCATCAGCAGTTCTATACGAAACCAAGGGTGATGAAGCCAGCCGCAACAGAATTACATGATATGCAGTATCTGTGTATTGCTTGATTTCGGAAATGTCTCTTACCAAGAACTCTACCATAAAATCGCATTTAATGACTGCATGCTTCCTTATCCCTTTAAATGAAAATGCAATGTCTCTGGTAAAACAAAATTTGCATGTTCCATCAAAGGCATCCACAATAAAGTCAACACCATAAGCGGGTCCTCTCCAAGCAACAAAAAACTCATCTTGATGAACTAAACTTCCAATCTCGACACATACATCAGATAACTTGAATGGAGTTTTATCCCTCCTCCTCCTATTCAAGAAATATGGATTCTCAGGGCCCAAACTTACTTTCAATGGTTCATTGTTGTAAAAAAGTTGAGAACGCCCTGCTGCATCCATAGCAGAAGTTACTGACTCAGTCATGGCAAAATGCACAAATGCATGAGGCTCCACCATGATATAATCATTTGTTCTTGCAATATTTGAAGTATCAATGAGCTCAAAATTTGGAAAGGACTCTTGAGGGGTCCAAGATGTTTTCAACCGGCACCTATATACAAGCCCAATTTCATCTTCCAAGTACGTTACAAGATCGCTTGCCTTCACATGTCTACCAAATCCACCAAAACTAAGTTGAGTTACCACTGTGCTAGTTTCACTTGCTTCAGATTCCATTTTCTCTACAAATATTCACTGTCTGACACAAAAGAAAATGACAAAAACCAGATCAGTACGCCTGATACAAATGAACAAACATTTACTTGAGCAGAATCAGCAACATAGATTAATATTCACACAATAATTCAACCACCAAAGTCACCATCTGGTAACGAAGAACTCAAAAAAGGGTCCTCAGCAACCATGACCAAGGAGGATGGGAAAATTATAATCTTCTGTTTGACAAAATCTAAAGAAATATAACACACAAAATTGTAACAGACTCATACCTCATTCACGAAATCCTTGCTGATTGGAAAAGAATGTTGTGCACAAACCCAAAGATTAAGGTTCCAATCAATCAGTAAATCAAACCGAGTGGAAGAATAGCAAACACAATACAAAACAACAATGTGGTTTGGTGTTGGGTTTTCCACTCAAAGGAAAAGACGGCAAGAGAGATTGGAAGCATAAATGGTGTAAAGCAAAACAAAAACAGTGATCAATATGTCTGGTTTAGTGGTTTGGGGACAGGGCTTCCACAAGATGGGCGCTCCCACACCTTCCTTGTGTATCTCATAGTTCAATACACGCATACAAGACAGAACGCAACGTATTGGCGAATCGCCGTGGAATTCAAAACATCATATGTTACCAAATGAAGAACACTGAAAACCCATTAACCTCAACTAATTGAAATCGAAAAAAAACTCCATCTTCCTCTTTAGCCCCAAGACAGCGATCTAGATTCATTAACCTCAACTAAAAAAAATACATAAGTGTTCGCTTTCGATTAATCTCCTACACTTTTGTAGCAACATGATCAGATTCATCAGAACAACAAGTTCCATTTTTTGCTCAGAAAAAAAAACAAACTGAACAAATTGTTATCATACACACTTACAAAAACCAAACTCAATTTCCACTGTCGGGACTTAAATTTTCTGAGGAAACTGCATCCGATTAGAACGAAATTCCATTTCATTGATACATAATTACAACCAGAAATCTATCAGACCATGTACATACAACCAGAAACAAGAAAAGCCCAAATTTTCCCCCACATTTCCTCGGGAAACAAACACAAATGAACAGAAACTGAGGAAGAAAAGCAGCACTGACCTCTTGAGTTGGAGAAGAACTCGGAGCGAGACAATATGTGAGAGAGAGAGTGAGTTATGTGTCTCGGTGGTGGAATGTGGGGGGGTTTATGAGTGAATGAAGGAAACGTGATCTTGCGGTATTGTGGCTTTTTGGCTTCCCTTCTTCAAGAAGTTCCCGCTTTGTGACTCTGACTAGAATGGAAAAAGGAACGAAGTGTTCGATGAAAGTCACATTGGAAATACTACAACTTATATACGACCAGTTTATACAAGTGGTGTTTCGGTCAAATAATATAATGTTATATGTTAAAAAACGTAAATGTAGTATTGTTTTATTAGAACTGGATAATTTAAATTGCACTTTTTTCTTTGATAGAGGGATTTTAGGTTTGAATTTTGTAGACGGTGAATTCGATACCAAATTAACTTGCCTATTGTATGGTTTAGCTAAACACGTCCTCTTCTCCGTGTAAATTATGCCGTGTACTCAAAAAAAATTGTGCTCCTCCCTTCAGAATTTCGATAAAAACATATAAATTTTTGCAAAAGAAAATGTGAGTGATTAGAAAGTTAATCAAAATATATTTTGAAAAACAAACAATCAAATTAAAAAATAACTAATTACCACATGCGTATGTACCAAGAATCTCTTTCTTAAAAAATAATAGTAAAATAATTGTAACCTTTCTATCTCATGGGGTATCACTTTGTCCAATCATAATTAAAATTCGATTTTGATAATTATCATTTAAATATTTTTATATGTGTAACAGTAACATTAATCAAATTGAGATCCTGAATATATTACAAAAAATTGTTAATTATATTTATATATATATGGATGACTAAATCATTTCTAATTTGGTTGGTCTTCTGCACATATAATATCAAGTAATTGAGAAAATAAAAGAATCAATAATTGATTTACAAAATTTGCATAGTTAATACGTTAACAGCAAGTGAGTGGATAAAACAATCAACGGTGGACACATGAAGTGGATAAAACGAAAAGCCACGTAACGTTATATTCACAATAATTAATCTTTGTAGTAATGAGGTTTAAAACTTGGCCTCTAAGGGTGCGTTTGTTGCACCAAACAGTCTCGGACTGGACTAGCTTCAGGGACTAAGCTGAATTGGCTTAGACTAGACTAAGCTGGACTAGCTTAGTGAAGCGTTTGATGCAGTGTCAGACTAAGTCACAAACTATATTTTTTTTGCCAATTTTAATTCACTTTTGCCTTAAAAATTAAACAAAAAGTAATAATTAAAGGGCACTGAAGTATCGAAATGAATGGACCCAAGCAAATTTTCTTTCCCCTTCCTTCCCTTACCCTTCCTCGTTTCTCTTCTCCATCATTTTCTCTCTATCAAATTATGCATCCAATATCTTACTTTTCTTGTTTAATTAAGAGAATTTGTTGGTTAACCATTTGCCAAGCCTTCAGAGATTCCAAAAAGAAAGGTAAGCCTTCTAGTAACCAATTAAACCTACAAATCCTTGAAAAAAAAACCCATAAACTAGAAGAAAAAAACCCACAAACCCAGAACAAAAATCGATTTACTAAGATTGCGAAGCAGTCATGGTGGAGATGACCCAGTCAATGAGGAGGTAAGTCGAAGGCAAAGCCAAATCAGTAGCTTCAAAGCCACAACCATGACAATAACGAAGCAGCGAAGGATAAGAAGATGGCAAAGATGACCCAGTCGACGAGGTCATCGTCGGAGATGAAGCCTCACCCAAAGATTGTGTCGTCGAAATCGACGTCGGGGAGGTGATTCAAGCAGGACGAAGAAGTTCTTAGCTAGTCCGATGGTTTTCAAGGGGACACGCCAAGAACGGCTAGTGAGGTTGTTAGTGAAAGCGAGTCCTGGCTAATCCCATTAAAACTAGTCCAGCTAGGAAACAAACATGGGAGTAGACTAATCTTTAGTCTAGTCCAGTCCAATGAACTTTAGTGAGAGGAAACAAACACCCCATAAATATTATTATTATCATCGGTATATTTACATGAAGAGGTGAGATAATAAATTAGTTGTCGACTCGCTATTTTCACATTTCGCTATTTTTCACATTTGAATATAAGATTTCTCACTTATAAATGAATAGAAAGACCGATGGATTATAGTTTTTTTTATCATCACTTAAATATGACTGAATTGGACTATTTGTCCTTTAAATTGGCACAATTGAACTTTGATGTTTGACCAAAAATTCATGAATATTAATCTCTAAACTTGTCACAATATGAAATAATAATGTTATTGAATAATATCTTTAGAATTGCCGTCCAAAACAAAAGAAGAAAAAAAAAGTGATGAAAGTTCTTATAAAGTTGCTCAAATAGACCCTGGATTCGCACAATGAATTTAGGACAAGTTCACAATTAATACTTAGTTTTTAGTTCAAAGATCAAAACTTTTAATTGGACTAAAATTTAATGTTCCATTTGACAAAAAAATAAAAATAAAAAAATTGTTCCAAATATTTTTTTAATACAAAAAAGGATTAAAAAATACCGACCAAAAAGAAATGAAAAGATAAGATAAAATACGAAGTCCTTAGCTTTCATAGTTAACAGAGGGAATATTCCCCATAACCCACTTGACGAATATTCTAATTCCGCTTCTAGATATAATCACCTCTCCGTCCTTCTCTCTCCCCTCTGTCTCTCTCTCATCAGACCCGCACGTCGCCGTTGTTGGCAGAACATCTCGCCGGAAAATTCCCAGAACACTTCGGGCGTCGCGGTGTAGCGCGGGAGCATGAAGTTCTCGAAGAGCCTCGGCATCCTGATCGAGGAGGCCTTGCCGGAATGGCGGGACAAGTTTCTGTCGTACAAGGACTTGAAGAAGCAGCTGAAGCTGATCTACCCCAAAGACGGAGACAAACCTCCCAATAAACGGCCTAGATTGTCCGACGACGACGACGATCGTGCTGACGGCGAGGGCGGTGAGGTTTCCAAGGAGGTAACGGATTTCGTGAGGTTGTTGGAGAACGAATTGGAAAAGTTTAATGCTTTTTTTGAGGAGAAGGAGGAAGATTACGTTATTCGATGGAAGGTATAATTTCTTGATTTTATTTTGAAATAATTATCTAAGAATACAATTCTGATTTTGGGAATTACGAGAATTTGTTGATAAATTGAGAGATTGGATTGCTGCTTGCGAATTCGGAAAGTTAACGTTTTTGTTTGATAATTTTGGTTTAGCAGATAGAAATATTGTGTCTTTGATGTATAATATTGAATTGGGATGAAATTGATTGGTTTTTGCATTGTTTTAGGACATTGTTTTGCCGGAAATTTTGGTTTCAGTAGCAATCTTGTAGATTTAGGTATGTAATTTGATTTGACTAGCCAATTTTGATGCATGTAATTTGGTTGAATTGATCCCGAAATTGGTCTTCTGTTTGTTTCAGAGCTCCATTTGACTTAAAATGTCGGGTTTTGCAGCAATTGGTACAACCACTTAAGGCATATAAGAACTTATCGACATTATATCAGTGTTGTTAAAGAAAAAGTATGATTTGTTTGATATATATCTGTCTTGTATTCCGCAATCCACTGCCCAGAGCATTCATGATGTGTCTATCTACGGAACATGACAAAAATCTTTACCTATATTCGCAACATTAATTGCCGATGAACTTCTGTGGTCTTTTTTTTTCTACACATAATTTGATGCAGGACTTTCCTGGCTGCTAATTTGCTAATCCTTTTGTCTCCAATTTTGTATATATCATCAGTCAAATGCGGTTTGTTCTTCAACCCTTTATCACCTGAAGCAGTATGTCTGTATTATAAGTTTGATTAGCTAATTGAATTTGGAAAACTTAGATCACTTTTTTATTAGCTAATTGAATTTGGAAAACTTATCACTTTTCTTTTTTGTGACCGTCAATTTAGTTTTATTGTGTCACACAATTCTTCTATGAGTAATCGCCTTACACAATATGATTAAGGGAGAGCATGACATGCTTCATGCTTTCGATAGTCTTTGACCAAAAGCACTACTGTAATCATTGGTATTGATGCTTTGTTTGGCATGTTATGATGCACAAGTATTACTCTTTTCTTCGCCAAGACTTAACGACTTCTATTAATGAACTTGCAAATACACTTGGCCCCTGAGTTTTCTATGTATTTCTTTGGACCTGCCAATTGGCGGAAAGTGTGTCCTAAGATGCAGAGGCATTGCGACTTTGATTATTTTTTAATTTGTGTACTTTCTGGTTCTGATTTTGGAATACAGGAGCTGCAAGACAGGGTAGCAGACGCAAAGGATTCCAATGAAGAGTTGATGAATGTAGGGAGAGAGATAGTTGATTTTCATGGAGAGATGGTTTTGTTAGAAAATTACAGCGCCCTTAACTATACAGGTATACATCTTTATCTTGTGTTTGTGTGCAAAACTTGTAAAAGAGATGCCTGGTCTTGAAAAGATTAACATTCTGGTTGTGCACGATCGTGCATGAGACTACCAACTATTGAATCTCTTATTGTTGTAATTGAAAAATAGTAATTACAAAATATAACATGTTTATAAAGGTGTAAAGCCCAATAAAACTCAACATGGGCGAGTTCAGTTGAATGAATGGCTAATATTGATAAAGGAACTTGTCAATCTTATTTTAGTTTTCCTAATTGTTAGAATCTTGAACCTGTGCTTTTTGGTGTTTTTTGCTTCCTATTTCCTCGACAGGTCTATTGAAGATACTAAAGAAACATGACAAGCGAACTGGTGCTCTAATTCGCCTTCCCTTTGTCCAAAGGGTCATGCAACAACCATTCTTCACTACTGATGTACTAAACAAGCTTGTAAAGGAGTGCGAGGTGATGCTCGATCATGTTTTCTCCAAGAATGACCCATCAGCCCCATCTGAAGCAACCGAAGTGGAAGAACGGTGTGAGTCTACGACTGTGACTGAAAATAGAGATAGGATATTTAAAGCGCCTACTGAACTTGCAGAAATAAAACAGATGGAGAGCGTCTATGTGAAGCAAACTGTGTCGGCATTGCGTGTCTTGAAAGAGGTACGGAGTGGAAGCTCAACTGTGAGTGCCTTCTCATTGCCCCCTTTGCAAATAAATGTGATGGAAGAGGATTTGAAGAATATGCCTGTTTTAGAACAAGTAGCCAAATAAATGTTTTGAAAAATTAGGGATTGAATTTCCTTTTGGTATTGAATTTAGACCAATCATAGATACCAATTGTATTCTCATAACGGTGGGATCGAGCCTTTGAAATCCCATCCCTTTTTACCCTGACCACTGTTTGCATGTCAAACTGAAGTTAACTCGTGTGAAGATGATTGTCGCCCTATCTTATAATTATCAATTGTTGCCCCCTTTTTATGTGAATTTTTAATTTTTGTACAAAGTTTCAGAATTTTAGTTTTCATTGCCCTTCCGCTAATTGTCATTGTGACGGTATTCCAAATCAATAATGCATTGCCATATTGTAAAGTTATTGTTCTAAAAATCCTCGCCAAGCGTCGCCTAGTCCCTGTCTAGGCGCTGGGCGGTTAGCCACCGCCTCGATTAATGCCTAGGCGTTTGAAAATTAAGAAAGGGCGTCTAGATCTACTAAGGTGCCTGCCTAGACCGTCTAGGCGCCCGTCTAGCCTGACCAGACCCGTTTAGACATCAGCTTAAGTTGTGACTCACTTAGACAAAAAATAAATAACTTGTATTTTGCATTTTATTTTTTTAATAAATTGTAATAGACTTGTTGAATACTTAAGGAACACACATTATATATTTGTTTTCCATGTTTTTATTATGTTTCAATAGCTCATAATATATGTCATTTCATTTTGTAGTTTATGATGAAATCATATATATTTTAAGTATAAACAAACATTTATTTACATGAAATATAATAGATTTAATTTTCCGCATATACCTCGTTTAGCCGCCTAGGCACTAGATCCCAGCCCGCTGGCCGACTAGCGTTGACGTCTTTTAGAACTTGTGTAAAGTTGCATGATATTGCATTATTGGTTGGAATTACCGTCAAGTTTGGAGATATGGTCAAAGTCCGGTCTTGATGTTAGCTAAATCTTTTTGCCCTACACATACATAACGCACCTCTTTGACTTCTAAACTTTTCGGTTCCTCCCACATTTTACCTACCCTTTTTCTAATACCGACTTCTTTTGGTATTGGCCAACACACTTTACATGAAGAACCTAACATCATATCTTTACTAGCACCAACCCTTTATAAACTCTCACAAACTGGGAGACCGTCAGTTGAAGAAACTGGAAGAGCTTCTTTTCGTTTGAAGAATTATGTCCATTGTTGAAGAAGCACCGGACTTTCTTCAAGTTTTTTCCGATGGATCTGTAAAACGCTTTTCACCCGGGGTGGCATCTGCCTCACCAGAATCAACCGACGGATTCAAGTCCAAGGATGTGATTATTGACTCATCGAAACCCATTACGGGAAGGATTTTCCTTCCTGGTAATCCAACATCTTCGAAGAAGCTTCCGGTTGTGGTTAATTTTCACGGTGGTGGCTTCTGCATTGGCTCAACCACATGGCTTGGCTACCATCATTTCTTAGGAGGCTTAGCTGTTGCATCCCAATCCATTGTTGTGTCCGTTGACTATCGTTTAGCTCCAGAGAACCGGCTCCCCGTAGCTTATGAAGACTGCTATTACACGTTCGATTGGCTTAGTTGCCAAGCAAGTTCTGAACCATGGCTAGACAAAGCTGATCTCTCTCGGGTTTTTCTCACCGGGGACAGCGCTGGAGGGAACATAACTCACAATGTTGCTGTGAAAGCCATTTGCAATCGAATCGGTCACGTCAAAATAAGGGGATTATTGTTGGTACATCCTTATTTTGGGAGTGAAAAGAGAACCGAGATAGAGATGGCTGAAGAGGGAGCAAAGGATGTGGCGAGCAATGACATGTTTTGGCGACTAAGCATACCTAAAGGCTCCAACCGAGACTATTTCGGATGTAACTTTGAAAAGACCGGACTGTCTGCAACCGAATGGAGCGATGAGTTCCCTGCTGTAGTTGTTTATGTGGCTGGCTTGGATTTTTTGAAAGAGAGGGGAGTGATGTATGCAGAGTTTCTGCAGAAAAAAGGAGTTAAAGAAGTGAAGCTGGTGGAGGCGGAGAACGAGTCTCATGTGTTTCATGTCTTCCATCCCGATTCAGAGGGGGCCGGTTTGCTTCAGAGAAACATGGGTGAATTCATCAGGAGCCATTAGCGATTTCAGATGGCAGTCACTAGGGCATTCTGATATGAACCATTTGTAAAATAACGGAGACATGAACTCCTTCTATCTGCATTTTAGTAATCATAGTCATATGCATGCAAAAAAAAAAAAAGCTACTCGAAGCTGTTCATTAAGTTGAAATTCTTAATCAAATTCGACCTGAACCAGCAAATTAACCACATTATAATATGAAATCCCATAAATTTCCATCCATATACAGTAAGTCACAAGACTATATCACTATACTTAGCCAACGTACACAAGTATACAAGTCCAATGCTAGGAAGGTTGTGCAGCTAATGGCATTTTACATCATTCGGGCGTACTATCGGAAGTGCTCATGAAACCTCCGAGAAACCCAGCTCCGTTGCAATTTCCGCACAACATCTCCTTCCTACCACTATAAGGAAACAAGAACAGTGAGAATGAATAGCAAAACGGTTTGTTTCAGTGAGTCTCTACACCCTATACTCTCCAGGAAAACTAGCACATTGTTTTGCCCGAAAATCGTAGTTTGAATGACAGAAAAGGCGTTACCCGCAGAGCCAGCACGAGTCACCGGCTTTAAACCGTCCACCGAAGAGATCAACAGAGTTCACTCCACTACCTTTGCATTGCGAGCACAGAACTGCACCTGCCCAATTCACAGTACAAGAATATAATTTTCCCCAAAAGGAAAATTGAACATATATATGCTTTTAGAGTTAGCTTACCATTTGCATCACAATCAGGGCAAATCATGCTGTTCGGTTTTACGCTTTCATTGCTTTTCTCAGCCTATTGGGATGAAAAAAAAAAACACCAAAATTTCAGCATGCAACGTATACAGGCATCAAAATTATGTCAATAAAGAAATTGCTGAAACACGAGCGTCTAATCAAAATTATCTTTTAAGCGTCTAATGCAAGACTTTCATTTCCAATCTAACATAATAAGTGTTCAACCTGTCATTATGGATGTGGGGCGCGTATTGCCTCTAACCTTAACACGTGATTAACATGCTCTAATGGTAATACCAAAGTATGATGTGATCATCCAACTCATAGACAATAAACTCGAATACTAGATACTTTGAAAATTAGAAAGTAATTCAATGTTAGATCGGGACAAAAAGTAAAGAACCTTAGCTTTGAGATTGGTAAATCTAGCGGCAGGAGAATTTTGGAGCAGCTTATCTATTCGAACCAGCTTTTGAGTAGCGTTATGGTTGCCTATCCATCATTGTGCATACATTGATTTAAGTCAGTGATCAAATAACAACCAAGTTTATGAGAAAGAACATTAACTAGCGGAAATTCTAAAATGAACCGGCTCATAGCATGGAACAGGTGAATGAACGACTCAATATACCGCTAAAAATCCAATGGCTAAGGATCCAACCCGCGCATACTATGCTCCGGTCCAAACTAAAAAAAGCGGATAACAGGAGGAGAGAAGCGGAGAAAGACCTGGTCGTGGGGTGATTTTCGAGGAACTTGAAGGTGCCAAGTACAAAGCATAAGCCATTGGAGAATGAGGAGGGAGCTAGCAAGTTATGATGAAAACTAGTTTGAATGGAGATTGAGTAGGTAGAAAACAAAGAAGAGAGAAGTAGCAGGCTTATCTGCTCGTTTCCACGCAAATGACAGGGCAGCGCAGCTGCTGCCTTTAGCTCCTTTTCTGTCCCTCAAAATTACCATTTTGCCCGTAAACTTAAAATGTGCACAACTTCTTTGTTAAAACACCGGTTTTCGCAGGCATTCACGACGATGAGTACCGTCCAAATGAAATCGAATATTGATTACTACGTGTCTTGAGCTCAAAGGTCCGACAAAAGATGAAATTTATGCTTCTAGAGGCATTTTGGTCATTTCACATTAAGAGAAGCTATTTTACAAAGAAAATTAAGGAAGAGTTGTAATACTTGAGAAACTGGATGTCATAAATAGATGCATTTTTGGAGGTTGGTTACAAGTCAAGCCCAATAGAGGTGAGAAAGTGGGTGGTACAGGGTTAGGATCAACTCCTTATACAGTGACATGGTTGGCCTTTATCCAAACTTCGAAGTCGTCTACTTGTTTGGATCGAGAAAATCATAAGTTACTAAAAAGAAAAATAATTAAATATTAGAACAATTTCTTTCGAATCAATTTATAACTTGAATTTTCCAAGTTTGTATTACGAATCGTAACACGAGCCTTGCATATTTTTAAATTTTTTTTTTGCGCGCATTGAATTAGAAATCATTTTGTTTTTTTTTTTATTAAGAAAGTAGTATCCGTTTCATGTCAATGTTGTACAATTTTTTTTTTCTTTTTGGTTTTTTAACAAATACTTTTTTTCCCGTATGATTAGGACCAAAAATCAATTACAGTCACTCAACTTTTTTTTTTTTTTTGAGTTAAATGATAGATTTTATTAGATTAGATATTAGATTAGTTATCGATGATGTTTGAATTCACACTGTCATGCAACGACTTAACACATTTCCATTACTGTAGTAAATAGTCACTTGTTACCATGAAAATAAAGAAAGAAAAAATAATGTTTTAAAAAAGAAAAAATAGTAAATTGTATCAATGGTCTTTCATCTAAAAATCTATTACCATTAGTCCCTAACTCATCAAAATGTGCAGTTATGATCAGTTTCATCAACTTCGTCAAACTTTTGTTAACATGAGTTATGTTGGAAGGACTATTGCTACAATTGGGATCGCTCAACTCATCAAAACGTGTAGCTATGGTTATTTTCGTCAACTTCGTCAGAATTTTGTCAAAACAAGTTATGTTGGAAGGACTATTGCTACACTTGAATTAAAGTTGAGGGACCATTACTCGAATTAGGATAAAGTTGAGGGACCAATGATAATGAATTTTTAGTTGAGGGACCATATACATTTTAACGAGTTGAGGAACAATGGTAATGAATTTTTAGTTGAAAGACAATTGCTACAATTTACGCAAAAAAAAAATCCTGAAAAATCATTTTGCAATTGCGGACAACTCCAAGGACAATTCTGGGATGCGGCTACTTATATATATGTGGCTCCCAATTACTGTAACCCTATCACTCACACTTTCTCTTGCTCTCCTTTTTCGTCGAGGTCTCGTCCCTCTCTCTCTCCGCTCTCTCTGTAACAACAAAAATTTTCAAATTCGCGTTTTCATCTAACTTTTTCAATTGCAGAATCCCCAAAACTCAATACTTTCACTCTTAATTCTTCCTAACTCAGGTATAATTCTCTATCTCCAAAACCCTAATTTCTCCGATTCAAAGTTCAAAACCCTAATTTGCGTCTCGAGCTTCGAAAAACCCTAATTGGAAGTCTCCATTTCTCAGCAGAACATGGGCGAAACAAGGGATGACGTCTACGACGAGGAGCTCGTCGATTACGAAGAAGAGGAGGAGAAGGCCCCTGACTCTGCAGCTAAAGTCAACGGCGAAGCCCCCAAAAAGTGAGTTTTTGTTATACGGATTTGCTTACTTATTTTTTTTTTAGTCCGTTGTTTGGTCGATCGGAATTAAAAATTCAACCTTTTCGTTATTCTAATTGCTTATTATCCGTTGCTTGCATATGATTGTTGTAATTCAAAATCCGATCGTAATGCAGAAGTATTCTGATTGCAGTTGAATATTATTTAGGTCTAAGTTATGTTCGTAATTGCTTTTTTGCAGGGGATATGTTGGAATTCACAGTTCAGGGTTCAGAGATTTCCTTTTGAAGCCTGAGCTTCTTCGGTCTATTGTCGACTCTGGATTTGAGCATCCTTCTGAAGGTAAACTCTTGAACTTAGACTTTTCGATTGCTATTTTGTAGCCGAAGTCAAACCATGTTATCTTGATTTTTTTTTCCTGTTTCATGGGTGAAGTTTATGATTATGTTTTTGGTCATTTAAGTATATTTGAATCCCCATTATGTTATTTTTATCAATCTATTTCTTTTTCGGTTAAATATTTAACTTCTCGGGCCTCTTCTCATTTGTTTTCTTTTATGTGCTTAGTTCTAATTCAGTTTACTTCATGTTTTTCAGGTAATTTGTCCTACTATCATAATCTTGAATTCAGAGAACTATTAGAGTTTCGGTAAAGACTTTCATAAACAGATTGGAGACGTTATGTTTTACTTACCAATGGTTCCTTCGATGCGGTTTTCTTTGGTTCATCAGTGCAACATGAATGTATCCCTCAAGCTATCCTCGGAATGGATGTTATTTGTCAAGCTAAATCTGGGATGGGAAAAACTGCTGTTTTTGTTTTATCATCTTTACAGCAGATTGACCCTGTCGCAGGCCAAGTCTCTGCCCTTGTCCTTTGCCATACTAGAGAATTAGCATACCAGGTACATTTGGGATCTGATTATAATAGTAATGTGCTACTGAATTTTTTCCATCTGTTCCTGTTTATTCAATACTAATTTGCGATTGAACTCTTGTGTAGATTTGTCATGAATTTGAGAGGTTCAGTACATACTTGCCTGATCTCAAGGTTGCTGTCTTCTATGGTGGTGTTAATATCAAACTTCACAAAGATTTACTGAAAAATGAATGCCCGCACATTGTTGTTGGAACTCCTGGAAGAATACTAGCACTGGCAAGAGATAAAGACCTCTCCTTGAAGAATGTGAGGCATTTTATCCTTGATGAATGCGACAAGATGCTTGAATCACTTGGTATGGATTTTACCTATTTTGAATTTTGGTTGTGCTCTGATTTTTATGTATGTCTCAGTTAGTGTCCCCACATCTTAATATTTGCTTCTACTCAATGCAGACATGAGGAGAGATGTGCAGGAGATCTTCAAGATGACGCCTCACGATAAGCAAGTGATGATGTTTTCCGCAACACTCAGCAAAGACATTCGCCCGGTTTGCAAGAAATTTATGCAAGATGTAATGTCCCATGGCCGAATCTACTTCAATTTTGAAGTCTCTTTTTTCATAATCCCACATTCTCCGAGAGATTTTGTAATTAAGTCGAATCTGGTGGTTACATAACGTGCTTACCGTTGGCATCGTGTTTATTTGGATACCACCATAGTCAGCCGTTTATTTGGAATTTGCGGCTTGACAAGGGTGTTCATCTGGAGTAAAAAGCGAGAGTAAGACACAAAGGAGGCCATCTACTAGGAGTTCTCTCAGTTGTGGGATAAGTGCTTTGCAATCTGCATTAGTATTTCCTTAGGTTTATCTTCCTCGTTGGGTTTGGCTTTTTTGTTTTTAGTAAGTCATCTTGTGGGTTTAAATTTGTAGTCCAGTGTATTGGCATTATTTTCCAGTCAAGGGTGAGAGCGGTTGGGTGGGTGGGTGGGTGGGTTGGCGGTGTTGGGGAGCGGGGGTACTCATGTTGGTGTCCCCACTGGGATCAGCCTTGGTCAGCAGTCAAATTTCTTAATAGATTGTATTGAGCGTCAATGGTGGTGGCTTAAAGTGATTTAGAAAAAGTTAACTTCAAGGAGACAAAACAGATGGAGCGGAATCTTGATTCAGGAGATGTGCATCCGTCATTCATTTCGTTCTGGATTCTATTAGCTTGAGGAAGGCCCCTAATATGATTTACTGTGACATTTGTTCCTTTCAGCCTATGGAAATATATGTTGATGATGAAGCCAAGTTGACCTTGCATGGTCTAGTGCAGGTATTTAGTTTGCAAGTGGTCTTTTAGTTTATTACACTTATTTATTCATATAATTATTACCTTTCACTGTTCCTTCATAAAAATAAACAAGAGTCTTACCTCAATAATCTAAAATTTCAGCACTACATCAAGTTAACCGAGGCAGAGAAGAACCGCAAGTTGAATGACCTCCTTGATGCATTGGACTTCAATCAAGTTGTTATATTCGTCAAAAGCGTTAGCAGAGCTGCTGAGCTGAACAAACTGCTTTCAGAGTGTAACTTTCCCTCTATATGCATCCATTCTGGAATGAGCCAAGAAGAAAGGTTTGTTACTAATTCCTATATATTATTATTCCATATTGTATTCCTTGGCGAGTTTTTACTTCTTGTTACTCTGACACCTTTTTGTCACAAATTTATTTTTTTTTTATTGGATTTGGGATATTTCATTACCCCAACTTTTGCTTTGGTTGATCTTAGTAGTTTATGTCATTTTCCATCTTTAAATCAAAGTTTTCTCAACAGTTTTATAAAATTTGATTCAAACTATTAGCTAACCAGCTTTGTTTCGGTGTTTATTATACTGTGTATTTATTTATAAAGTTAATGATTCAGTGTCTTATATTTTTTTTTCTTCTCTCTATATAGTTGTCTGGTGTTATATAAATGTTATTTTTCTCAAGTTGCATGCCTGGTGACTCTTGTGCTTTAGAGTTTTTTCATACTTTTAAATTGATGTTATAGGCGATGAGTACTCTCTCCGGTTATCTTCTGGTGTTTGTGTCCCACTGCCCCTATTTCTCTCCTCTGATTGCCCTTGTGTCGTTTAAAATGTTTTGTTGAACTTGTCGTCATTTTTTGGCCTAGTTATTTCATTTGGGAGGGTGACCGTTTAATTTTAAATTGTATCTCTTTTGTAGGTTGAAGCGGTACAAGGATTCAAGGAGGGTCAGAACAGGATTCTCGTGGCAACTGATTTAGTCGGTAGAGGAATCGACATTGAGCGTGTTAACATTGTTATCAACTACGACATGCCAGATTCTGCTGACACTTATTTACACAGGGTAAGTTGATATTATGGTTTGATTCTTGAAATAAGTCTTGTCTAACTGAATTTTAGCTTATGTTTTGTCTTTTGATTAGCGTCTGTTTATCTTTTCTTTTTGGGTATTGTGGTGCATAATTATATGCCTTTGGTTCCTTTCCATAAAAGGAAAACTAAGAAAGAATTCTAGTTTTTCTTTTGGGGTTACTTGTAGCTGGAAGAGAGGCCTGATATTGAAAATGTATTTTGATGATCATAATGCATGAGCATTTATGCGGTGTGGTTTACTGTTTATATAAATATAGATTAAAATGCAATTCTATTATGTCTTTTGTCTCTTATGTGAATGGCTGGCAACTAATTTATATTCATATGTAATAGATCTGCTACGTTAAGAGTGTATTATAGTTTTTGGGTTCAGAATAAGATCATTTACATTGTGCCTGGTACAAAGATGGATGGTAGTAGGTAGTAGTATTCTGATGATTAACATGACGATGAACAGCTAACACATTCACGAATATATCTTGGATCTAACTTCTTGCTTTCACATAAAAATTCTGACAGGTTGGCAGAGCTGGTAGGTTTGGCACCAAAGGTCTTGCTATTACGTTTGTTTCATCCGCAGCAGACTCTGATGTTCTAAATGATGTATGAAATTAGTTATCCACGTGTGTTCTCTTCTGTTTATTGTAATTTTTCCGTTGTTTTAAACTTATTGGGTATGCAAATGCAGGTTCAGGAGAGGTTTGAGGTTGACATAAAGGAGCTTCCTGAACAGATCGATACTGCCACATACAGTATGTTTTCTTTGCTGGATATTTTTTTTCTGGTGTTTTGCTTTATAGTCAACTTTTGTTTTTGGTCTAAAGGTCAGAAAATAACTGATTGGAATTAGGAAACAGAAGCACCTGTATCACATTTAACAATCTTCTCAGATTTGTTTTTATTTTGACCGTACAACACCGATAATTTGCCTTTCTTCAGTAAAAATTATTTTTAACAGTTAACATCCCCAGTTTTTTATTCTTGAACAGAAAAATGAGATAATAAAAAACAAAAGACCTATCTTTTGGGGTTTCCCTAAATAACTAACCTCGCCAAGTTTATGTTTTATGAATTTTTTTTATTCTGTTTTATTTAGGAAAAGAATTAGGGTTTATTTTTCTAATGAAAACAGTTAGCAACTTAACCACATGGCAGTAAATGGTTGATATTTTCCTTCTCTTTCCATTAATGTCCTGCTATTTCTTCATCGTTTAGTTTACCAGTTTTGATATGTCAATCGTTACTGCAAGTCGGACCATAATTCTAATTTACTACTCGCGTCTAGCCCTTCCTGTGCTTCTGACAGGTGATTAGCTGAATTTACGCGTTCCTAATGCACTATCTTCTTTGTATGCAGTGCCATCTTAATTGAAGTTTACATCTCAGTATGAAGGCATCATTTGCACTGGTGGTGGAGGGTGTTGCAAACCGTTCTGTTATTTTATCAGACTGATTTTGAACGATTTGTTTTATGCGGTAGAAGCTCGACGCTGATGTATAAGTGTTTTTAAATATGGGTGTGTAGAAATTTGCGGTCCTCCACAACCTGTTACCCTGTAGGGCTTGGTTTGAGATGTTAGCAGAGTTGGAAATTTTAGAATTCATTTGCAGTATTATGTATGAAGTACCAGCCATCTCGCAGGGTCGGTCAAAACAGAAAGGATGAGACACTAGGAGGAGGGAGAACAAAGAAAATGTTATTTGCTTTAATATTATTTCGTGTCGGTATTGAGATTTTACTATGAAGATTTTGTTCGACGTTATTTCTGTTTATTTTTATATCGGTATCTGATAATGCAAGATTTCTGAATTCCGAATGCATTTCTATTGGGGAAATGATGATGTCGAAAAACCTGTTTGTAACAGTTCTGTTCGAGAAAGGATGAAAAGCATTTTTTACGTTCTTGTTTAATCATATTTGTTGTTTTTGTTTAATTTATATAATTCAACGGTCAAATAAAAGAATGATCGTGTGACAAGCTTAAAATGACCGAAGTGTCCCCGTTACTATTTTGGTAAATTACGAAGTCCAACACACTAGGAACTGGTTCTAGTCACCCGTTGTCATAATCACACTCTCACCCATTTGCAATATTTGGGACATCTCCGATGTACCCGAAAGTTTTTTCAGACTCAAATCGGAAACTTAAAACCTATAAATGATGGCTTTTAAGTCGAACCATAACTTATGTTTGGGGAATTGATTGACAAGCTACTCTCTTCTTCAATGCACCAGCACTAAGATGCATTGACGAATACGATGTAACTCACAGGACGCGAGGAGTTTTTTGGTAGTACAGTTTCACATTGTTATATAGTGTTTTTAAGTCACTTATGCTAAATACACAATATCTGTTTATCAATAAATTATAACTGCTATCCGCCTATATTTAATACGTGAATTAATAAGAATACATGAAGGTGTAACTGTTGCAATCAAAAATGTTTTTCACAAGTCATAGTGTTCCCCGAATTGAGATCTCAATTTTGAGTCTGTATAGAGCACTTTCTCATAAATTATAAACCATCGAACTGAGTCAAACACCATGAGCCATGGCAATAAACACTTTCCTCATCTGCAGATATGTGTTTTGGAATAACAGGAAAGAGAGTTAATAGGATGCAGTTCTTTGCTCCAATACTGTTCCTATTTATAGAAGTCGGGCCAAGTTGATGTAAACCATGCCTAATACCCATTTCTTCAGTGGATATTATATTCAAAATGGTATCCATATACAAGAATTTCTACATCCTTTTTCATCTTGCAATCCTATTATCTGTAAGGTAGTTTTTACTAGCTAGTACTACGACTATATTTGGGAATATGTATTTATATACATACATACATATACATGCATAGAATAGAGAATTTTTTATCTGTCTATGGCACACGTAATACGTGGTATAAGATTTCACATGTCTGATGTCTTACTTCTAGCGTATATTAATGGAAAACAAATACATATGTTATAATTTGAGTGAAATAATAACGTCACATAACTGTATTTGGAGTACTCCTAAAATTTGCTCACACGAAGTGTTAATAAATCAGGCATATATTATCATTCTCTAAGTTAGTATAACTACTACATATATATTTCATGCAGGAACTACTGCGCACCAGTTTGATGCTTTATATTGCTTTAACGAGTTTTGTGCTTGGCGCTGTGGATGAAACCCGAAGTAATATTTTTAACGTGCTTGACTATGGCGCCTTTGCAGATGGCCAGCACGATGATTCCGAAGTAATAAATATCTTCATGCCTTCAACTTTGTGTCTGCAGTTTTTTTACTGTAATTAGTTAATTACGTTTTAATTCTTAAATCCTCAAAGTTGCCTTCTAAGATATATATATATATATATCTTGTGCAATGAAAGGCCTTTTTAAAAGCATGGAAGGAGTTGTGTGAAGCTGAAGGAAGTTATTATGGTCTGCCAATGCTTGAAATACCTTGCGGAAAGACATTTAAACTGAAACCCGTGCATTTCCAGGGCCCCTGCAAGTCGAGATCTGTTCAAATTAAGGTACTAATTAATTTGTTCATTGGAGCATTTTGAAAATGTCAAAGTAGTATTCAGATAGCAGAAAACGTTTTTGGTAGTTAGTTATGGTTGAAATAAATAAAAAATGCTTTTTTGGGAGCTTCTAACCAGTATAAGTTGTTTCATATGTGTTCCATCGATGGACTCAAATTCGAATCCTTCTTCTTGTAGTGTAGAATATCACCGGCATTAAAAAAAGTAACTGAAAAGTTGGATTATATTTTTGTAAGAATAATTAATAATGGAAAATCATGAGAGTTTTTAACTAAGGCTCTAATACCGCATGTAAGAATAATCTGTTCTTCAAAATTCGAAGAAGATAAGTCATAGCTTGACTTCAAGAGTAAGCTTCTCCTCTCTTGCACAACAATATGCTCGACTTACAATAGGTCTAAGTCCATTAATGAGCTGCCTATTCTGTGAGAGCGCTGATTACTATTTATATTGAAATAATCCTATTAAAATCGTGTAGGATCCGAAACTGACACATAATTCTAATCGAACTATGAGTGCTAAGTATCAAGATTCATTTAAAGCATTATAACCGGTTCTAACTCCCACTGTCATGCTCACATTCTAACAACTTTTGGATCGATTATTTACAGTTTTGTTCAGTATTCAAATTGATCAATTGAAACTTAATTTTGCTGGATGCAGTTTTTTGGAACTATCATTGCTCCTGCGTATATAAGTGGATGGACTGGTTGTGTTGGAAATAGCTGGCTACTATTTTCAAACGTGGACAACCTCATGATCAATGGATCGGGAAAGATTGATGGCCAGGGTGAAAATTGGTGGAATAAACCAAAGGAACACCACAAACACAAAGTACACATTTCTCATTCTATGTGCATATTAACCTTACCCATATTACATCATGACATAGGTAACCAAACTTTAATTTATGTCCAGGAAATAATCAGATACCAGTCTCTCGATTTTCAGGGTAAAGGAAACTGCTATAGTCCTACAGTAAGACCACTCTTCTTAATATTGTCGAAACATATTAGGAAAGTGATTTTTAAACACTCATTTTCACACTCCGCACTTTTGTTATATTTAACATTTGCATTGAATAAATTAAAAGAGAATCAAGGAACATGATTAAAAAAAAAAGATATGTATAGAACGATAATAAAAATCATTTCTCACTTTTAATTTATAATAGAAATTTAGGTAAGAAGTGGCTAATTGGTTATAAGAGAAATCCTAAAAGAAATTTAGCCCCTTCTTTTAAACTAAAAACAATCCTAATAAAAGAAGTGTCTAATTAGTTACGTGTGATTGTATTGCAGGCTTTACGGCTCAGTAACTGCTCTAATCTTCATCTTAGGGGACTTACTCATGTTAATAGCCCAAGAAGCCATATTTATATCAGTAACAGTGAAAATGTAACTCTCACTCATCTCAATATAACTGCACCTGAATCAAGCCCTAACACTGATGGAATTGATCTCTCAAGCTCAAAAAATGTGAGCATCCATGAAAGTACCATTGCAACTGGTAATCCCAATATCTGTTACTTAATTAGGTGGTTCTGTTCGTATTAATAAAAATAATGATTTTACTTTTTATTGATTTTAGGGGATGACTGCATTGCTATCAAGGGAAATTGTTCCAAGATCAATATTACAGGGATTATGTGTGGCCCAGGGCATGGTATAAGGTTTGTCAATGACCTAATTTCTCTTTTGTTGATATAGAATCTACATAAAAGAGAAACTTACATGAAATAGATACAATGTGTGCATCTCACAAGAAAATAAAAAAAGGGGCCTTGGAGCAAGTGTTTTCACATGAGTTTCTTTAGATTACCAAATTCAAATTCGATTTTGCTTTCTCTATCCACAAGACAAGAGATGGAGCAAAAACATATATATGAAAGAATATATTATAAAATGAATTAGAACTTTGTTTGATCTTGTAGCGTGGGAAGCCTTGGAGCACAAGGAGCGTTTGAAACAGTTGAAGAAGTGTTCGTGGGAAATTGTACCCTCACAGAGTCCATGTATGGAGCAAGGATCAAGACCTGGCAGGTAGCGTTTAGGGACAACAATATTTTGGGCCAAACTTTATAATTAACGAGTAGTGTTCGTTGGCTACAATGAATGTGGACCACACATTTAGACAGGAACCATCAGTTACTTGATCAATAACTTTAATTTAAGAATCTCATAAACATTGTTGTTTATCAGGGAGGTTCAGGGTACGCCAGGAACATCCATTTCCAAAACATCCATCTTAGGGAAGCCAAAAATCCGATCATCATCGACCAATTTTACTGCAATGGTCGACACGATTGCAAAAATTCGGTAAAGATATACATGAGTTTTGATAACATATTGACTGTTATTAAAAAAATAAAAATAAAAGTTTTAGTTAATTACACATGCAAAATTTCTAATTATTTTGTGCAATTAATTAATTAATTAATGTTGCAGACGGAGGCAGTGTCAGTGAGCAATGTTACATATTTTGGTGTGAGGGGAACTAGTGCTAGGAAGGATGCAATCACATTGAAGTGTGCAAGTACAAATTGCACCAACATTTCAATGAACAAGATTAACATTTCATCATGGGACTATGGAAGTGAGGTTTCTGCTTATTGTCTGAATGCAAAAGGAACATCAAGCTGCTCCACACCTACTGTGCCTTGCCTGAACGGTGTTTGCGAGGGTGGAGGTGACTGTGGAAGTGAAGATTTTGTCTTTTATTAAAAATTCTAATGAAGGTGATAGTTATAGATCAATTAGGAGTGATGAATTACAGGACTCCACCAATTCTGGTGTGTAGATTTTTGAAAGATAATTTTAGTAACGATCGAGTGGTAAAGAATAATGGAATTAGAGAACACATTTCATATTGGTTGCAAGTGCCCCTTGGTCTTCTATGTACCTGAATTTGATTTCTCTCTTTGTCCCTTTGCTCCAATATTTTCCTCTCCACAATCCATTTTTTATTGATGAACGTTTATTCTAAAAAACTGAAATTGTTATTGACAGAATAATTCATGTGCATGCTATATGGATGAGATGTATATATATTGTTCTTCGCATAGCAAATTTAACTTTGGAAATAAAAATAACATATTGTATCAAAAAAAAAAAAAAAAAGAGACACTTAGGAAATAACAAAACATTTGAGAGATGCTCTCGCCATGTAACATATCAATCAACTACATGACAAGAGAAATTATTAAGAAAAAAAAAACCCCAATAATTATGTAATATATGAGGTGGTAAAAGAATTTCAGTTTTAAGAAATCCAACTCCCACCAACTATGCATGCGGAACTCCAATAACGACACTGTAAAAAAACATCATTTCCAGACAAAAGGATTTCGCGTTAAAGGTTTTGTCTGACAGGATTTTGTCGTTAAAGGTTTTGCTCTACAAGATTTCGTCGAGCAAGGTCGTAGCTAGAATGTTTGCCCGACTATGATTGATCATGAAATCAGTTTAGTTAATCTTATAAGTGCACTACGATCGTGATGCTGTGTCTAAATTTCACTATATAAAGTCATTATTAATCTGATCAATTATGATATAAAACATTCTACGTATTAGATTAAGGTATATACGCACAAGTTATAACACATAATTTTAGTTCTTATGGATTAGAAGAATGTTTTAAATTTTTTAGAAATACTGCATGAATCATGGATTCAATTATTTTTTTTAACAAACGATATTATCTACATTAAGGAGGAGGGGTGGGTTTAGCCTCACAATGAGTTAGCAATAATATGGTTCAAATTCACCTTTGGCGAAAATTGAACCTAAGACTTCTTACTTACAAGTGAAAAGGAATACTCCTAGATGAATATTTTAAATTTTGTAATTGTACACTTTCCATTTTTGGTACATATCTTCAGTCGCTATGGATTCGATGAATGTTTTATAAAAATTCAAAAATTTAAAAATATGAAGAAAAAAAGAAGAGGGAAAAAAAATTGTGGCAGTGCACTTTGAAAGAAATAATATTAGGTAGTGACTGCATGCATAGACTTTATTTTATGAATAATGTTAGGGAGATCAAATTTTTTAAATTCAATTTGTAAACCAAATGATGTGGTTGTTGATAATTAGATTATTACTTAAACGTTGATTAACGTGCTTATTTCTTATTGGTGACACATCATCTAGTTTGCATTTTGGTTTAAAATTTGTTCTCTCTAGCATTACCCTAATTTTATCCCAAAATAAAAATAAAAAAACAACCCTGCTAACCGTGGACTGTATTTTACATACATAAAACAATTGCATACCCAAATGTACTGATTAATAGTCATTAATCGTTAATCCTAGTATAGTGACTGCATGCATGCACGGCCAACTCCCACACCATGTATAAGAAGAGGGAGGAGCGTAGGGTGATTATCGGTAAATTAAGTTAAGAAATTGAGTTTTAATTCATCTCGCATATACTTACGTACTGATAATGGTGAGGAACACTGCAATTTCTGGACTCGATTCATTCTTGCTTAGTACTAACGTCACTTCTTTCTCTACTAAAATTAGCTTGTCATTTTATTTTTTTAAATTCTGTGTGCAGGACCTACATCTAGTTTTGGCATTGGATACGGGCAAAATGGTACTTATAATGTGTTTGATTTTGGTGCATCTGGAGATGGCGTCGCAGATGATTCACAAGTAATTAGATAAATCTTTTCCTCACTTTAATTATATGATTTTTTTCCTCACTTGAAGGCATGGCAAAGAGCATGTGGAACTCCAGGATCTTCACAAACCCTAAGCATCCCACAAGGGAAAACCTACTTACTCAACCCTCTCAGATTTTTGGGTCCTTGCAAGTCCAACAATGTTCAAATTCAGGTATATCTGCATATATATGGTTTTCGTTGATTTCTTTTCGTTAATCCTTGTACTTGATTAATCAACTAAGGTTTAGGGTTATGCATGCATTTCCTCTTTTAATTATAATGTGTGAATGATTAATTTAACGTCTTTTTGAATTTAATCAGGTTGACGGGAATATTGTGGGTCCTTCCGATCCTAATGTATGGACAACGGCGTGCGAATCTGGATGCTGGTTATGCTTCGAAGACGTGAAGGGTCTGATCATCAAGGGAAGCGGACATGTAAATGGGAAGGGTGCAATTTGGTGGAACCAAGTAGGTAAATTAACTCACAACTATAATTAAAATACCGTTTTTCATGTTTTATTTATGAAAATTAAAAACTCATCAGGTTTTTTTTGTTAATATGTATGTTCAGGAGGATAAGTTTCATTGCAAAGCACCATCGGTAATATACCTTTTTACTTCTCAGGACAGCCCAAGAAATCATATCATGATCCATCAATGCACTGGTGTACATATATCAAATGTCCACCTAATGCACCTGAAAATAGCCCCAACACTGATGGCATTGACATCAGTTGGTCAAGTCAAATAGATATACGTGACTCTTCCGTTGGAACCGGTAATTCACATTACTTTATATATATTTGAAGCTTAAGTATCTTTGTATTCATAACTATGAGTTCACTAGTATTTCAACTTGAAGTTTTGCCAAGTTTGTGTAATTGTAACATTGCTTAACATTATTGACGTGATGTCGCCTATTAAGTTAAATTTTAACATGGTGATCAATGATTTTATACTTGAAGGCACGTCAACATGGCATATTACGTTGTGGACACCCATGATATTTTTTGTCATTGTTTAGTTGTTTATGTTATTTACTTGCATATATTCTTCGTAACATATGATTAATTGTTTACAATACATAGGTGATGACTGCATTGCAATTAAGGGTGGCTCTTCTTTTGTATACATAACAAATGTGGCATGTGGACCAGGTCACGGTATTAGGTATGTGAAAAAGTTGTCTTTTACATTTTCGTCACAAAATGAAACTTGACGAACAATAAAAGGGTCCCTAAATCCTAAGCCTTAGTTGGTTTCAAACAACCTAATCAAACTATTTTTCTAATTGACTTTTTAACTGTATGCGTGTGTGTTCTGTTTCTAAAGTGTGGGAAGCTTAGGACAAGGTGGAGCTGATGATAGAGTTGAACAAGTGCATGTTCAACATTGTACCTTCACCGATACTCAAAATGGTGCAAGAATCAAGACTTGGAAGGTAAATATCATTTACGTTTTTAGGTGGATAAAATTTGTGCATGTGTTGATACCCTCTAATGTAAATCGGTCTCTTACAATAGTAGACTTTCTCTCTACAATATATCATTTTTCTGGACGAAACAGTTTGTGATGTAACATGTTTTTCAAATAATTATTTTAGATATTTAATAACACTCTTCTTGATTTGTTTGAAGGGAGGATATGGTGCAATTTTAGATGAATTGATACAATTCCAATACGTCATGGTGCAATTTTAGATGAATTGAAACCTCATGGTCTATTTTGAAAATCACCTCAAACTTGAAGGTGTAAAATCTAATTATCCTTATTTTTAAAGGGGCTTAGATTCACTATATAAAGGTTTCTTTGGTTTAGGCTATAAACATGAGTGACGTGACTTACACTGGCTTCCAAGGAACTTCAGCGAGTGAACAAGCTATAACACTGGATTGCGGTAGCGTGGGTTGCACCAACATTGTAATGGATCTTGTCAACCTAACTTCGGCTGTGCCTTGAAAGCCAGTACTCAAAGCTTTATGCAAGAATGCCAGTGGGAAATCAAGCTCTACTACACCTGTCGTTCCTTGCCTATCAGAGTGATCGATCCGTCGATGCATATTGCAATTCAATTTTGTAGTTCATTAGATTTCTTTTTTCTTAAGGTAGAAGTTACATTTTCTTTTTCGAGTTCATTTGGCCGTTGCTGCCAATCAATAAATTGTGCCCCTTTCATTTTCTCTCTCTTTTCTTCATTCCTGCAATATTAAATTTGAAAAGGAACCTTTTGAAAATTGTGATTTTTATTTTTATTTTTATTTTTGGAAGAAAAGTCGATAGATTCATTGCCATAAACATATGAAGTTACAAAACCCAGTTACACCAAGTTTTCCTCATAAAGTAAATCTGATATGAGGTCTGGGGTTTCTCAAACTAGTTACAATTAGAGCCTGAAAGTAAACCAAATCGTGCAAGACGGTGGACGGTGGACGATGCCATTAGCTTGTCGGCAAACATGAGTAGAAGAAACTCCAATGATTGAGGCCAAAAGCTCCTTCGAATCTTCAATAACGAGCCCAATCTCAAACTAGTCATTAGAAGAATCCTAGGGAGCTGCCGCAATATGGAGCGAAACGCTCTCAAGAATAAAATTTTGAATAGGGCAATGCTAAAGAGACTCAAATTGTAGACTAAATTTATAAACTAAATGATGTGTCACCAATAGAAATGAGCATGCTTATCAATGCTTAAGCAATAATCCAATCATCAACTTCCATGTTCTTTAGTTTTCAAAATTGAGTCTGCAAATTGAGTCTCCATAGCATTACCCTTTTGAATAACCCCTTTGCGTCGCCAAAAGCAAAGCCTCACGAGCGGCCACTGCCTCCACATGTAAAGGAGAAGAAATATGGTTTATTTTCCTCCTTGTGGCAGCTACAAAACTTCCCTGATCGTTAAATTAATCATGCCAACTCCCCCCTGCTTAGAAGATTCGTTCCAAGCCCCATCAATGTTGATTTTCAGAAAATTTGTCCGAGGCCAAGACCATTTAACGTTCTGATGGAGGCGTGTACTTGCAGTCACAGTTGGGACAGCAGTTCGAATGAAAGCCTGCCACCAAGAGATGCATCTGGACGCGAGAATATCTGGGGCCTCCATTGCATTTTCCACAACCTATTGTTACGAGCACCCCAGATAGCCCAAAGAATCATCAAACAGATAGCAAAGTTCTCGGGGTTCAGAACCGCCACCCAAGAAGCAATCCAATCCATCGAAGATGAGGAGCGATGAGGACATGGTGGAAAGCCAACTGGAGAAGCCATCCACACGCACCGAGCAAACGCACAGTCACGCATAAGGTGAAGAGTGGATTCACCAAATCCGCCACGCAGGTGATGTGTTTTCTTAAGATTGCTAATTTTGGTGCTTATAATTTGACCTATCTTTGATTCTACTAATACTCTTGATATCGATTTCCTTTTTTTAAAACACACATGTTGACTACCAGAACACTTTGGTACGGATACTGTTTTCCACTACAACAAAAATGTTTCGAGACAACATGTGCCAATTATTTATTGTTTAGGGTTCTCCGCTCCAAGTTCAACTCACTCTTTCCCCTTTGTTTTGTTTCTGAAAATGATTTCAAATTTTTCTCTAAGTTCAACCAAAACTGAAGACTCAAATAGATGTAGCTAGAAATTTAAAGAGAGGATGAAGTTGGAGAAAATTACTTCCAAGAGTGTGTATAAGGAATTAATTAGGCGTGACAAAGAGAATTATGACTTTCTAAAAATAATAAAAAAATTTGCCCAACAAATGTTTTCGTCGAGCATGTCTTTTGTATTTTTTTTCCTTAAATCCTTACTTGACGATTGTTTTGTGGGGCAAAAATTTTTGAAATTTATTTATGGGTAAATTACACTTTCATACCTCAAGTTTGGGGTTCATTTCAATTTCTTACAACATCTTCAAAACATTTCACTTTCATACCTTAAGTACTATTTTATTTCAAAATAATGTCTCCATTACATTTTTCATTCATTAATCTGTTAAGTGCTGAAGTGACTGCCAGATTTATACCACGTGGATGCCAAATGTGTGCCACATGGCAAAAAAAATAATTTTTTAATTTAAAAAAAAAAACCTAAATCTTCTTCCCAAAAAAAAAAAAAAATTGAAAACGCAGAACCCACCCGTCTTCTCCCTCCAGAGCCTCCCAACCACCTCCCTCTCCTCCACTCTCTTCATCTCCCCTCCCATCCAAAAACCCATCTCATCCCACCCCACCCCCACCCCCCCCCCAACCATTTTTCTTTCCTTCTCCTTTTTCTTTCTTTTCCCATTTCAAAGGGACAAACCAAAAATCAAAAGCCTTGTTTTTCACTCTTCCAGTTCCAAATCCCAAGTATTCTTCTAAGTAGAAACCCAAACCCCATCTTAAAGCAATCTCTTTCTGTTTTTCTTCAGACTCAGAATAGATTTTGGTGGCGGTGGCGGTGAAAGAACACCCACCAAATCCAAATGGAATACACCACAAGCTTAAGGCCTCAAGAATTTAGAGAGAAGCCCTATTCGTATTCCCCCATAAACTCACCGAGAACCAACAACAATGGCACAGCCACCAATGCCATGGTCTGCAACAGCAGCAGCAACTCGGCGGTGGCGGCTCAAATCCCGACAACTCCGAAAGTCTCAACTCCCATATCCGAAACCTGTCTGCATCTCGTGGGTCCGATCGATGTCAATTTGAGGTTAGAATGAGAGAAGGGGGAAGAGAAAGAGATGGAAGAGGTCGCCGGAAATAGGTGGGGTGGGATGGGGGGTTTGGTCGCGGGGAAAACGATGGCCTTTTTTTTTTTAATAAAAAAAATAGGGTAAATATTATAATAATTTTAATGCATTAAAATTTATTATTTTTGCCATGTGGTGTGCTACGTTGGTAGTCACATTAGCACTTAACGGACTAGTAGAAAAATCACTTTGCGCGACGTAGGTGCCTTCGTCGCGCAAAGTCAAGAATCGTTGCCTCAGGGTTTGCGCGACGCAACTTCGTCGCGCCAAGGCAGTGACAGTAGGGTTTGCGCGACGAAGAAGCAACCTACGTCGCGCAAAGTGTATTTTGCGCGACGTAGGATGTGCGTCGCACAAAGCGTCTTTGCGCGACGCATGCTCTACGTCGCGCAAAACCGCTTTGTGCGACGCACATCCTACGTCGCGCAAAATACACTTTGCGCGACGTAGGTTGCTTCTTCGTCGCGCAAAACTCTCTTTTTTTTTTTTTTTTTTTTTTTTGACAAAAATATTTTTATTTAATTTTTAATAAATATTGTAATTAAATTATAAACAATAATTAATAAACCAAGAAAAAGTATTTAATTATAGAATATATGAAAATGTACATACAAGATGTCCAAACAAAAAAGACAAAAACTACAACAAGTAGTCTTCTAGGTTTGATACAACATGCTACTGGGTATCGGCTAGGCGATGTGGCTGGAGGGTCAAAGATAGAGCAAGATCAGGTGCTGGCATCAGGATTTGCAGGCCGGACATGTGTAAGGCCCGTAAGATCATACTTATCTTCTCGTCCTGGGCCGATAACTGGGTTGCAATCTGGGCTTCCCGGGCTATTTCTTGGACCGCAATCTGAGACGCCGTGAGAGTAACCTCAGTAAAAGGTGTAGGCTCCCCAATCAATGAAGCACTCACGACTAAAGCAGTAGCTGCTGAAAATGCGGAATGCACATTGGTTACACTCCGACGACGAGTGATCAACTACGACATCTATACACTTTTTGAACCATAGAAATATAATTATAAAATGACTAGGCATAAAGTCATAACATACCCGCTGTATTTTAGGAACTTCTTGTTGCATAACATCTGATTTTAAGCGTCTCAAAATAAAGGGTCCCAATATAGATTTCATGCGGACAATCAAATCTCTATCTTCACCAATTAATAGATTTTTCAAGTCAACATCCTTAGTAGTGAAAAGATCTGGCACCATAAACTCCAACATAGACCAAAGCTCCTACAACAGAAACATACAAGTCAATGAGTCATTTATCAACAAAACTAAAATCTAAAAGAAATTAATAAAAGCATGAGTTCCACTACAAAATCAATAGTAATACCATTCCTCGATTCTCTTCCCTCCATTGTATACCTTCATTCTCAGCAATTTCGATGACCTACACAAAGCAAGTAGTAAGAAAAATTTTGAACAAAGCTTATATTTATGAAGTTGAGAGATCAAATAATCCAATTAAAGAAACCAAGATATACTTTGGACAGTTCTGAGATTTCTTCTTGCAATGTTTCCATAAAAAGATGGGAAGGTAAAATTCAAAGATCATTACTTTCATTATAGCCAAATACCCCCATGGCAGGGGAAGAAGAGAAAAATAAAACCTCCAGTAATTGTTATCAAAACTCAAACTTCCCAAAAAGAAAACAGAACAACAGTAGCAATATACAATCGAGTTAAATAACACCAAAACAACAGTAGCAATATACAAAAAAGGCACCATCATAAAGTAAGAGACATTTTATTTACACATACATTAACTCAGCCACCAGTTTGATCAGTTTAATATGCATTACCAAGCATTCCACTATTTCCCCAAAAATTTCATGCCAAAGAGAATTTAAAACCCCTACCGATTGCTTCATAACCATGCGACCCACACCCTGTGATAACCCTGAGGAATTGAACCGTTGTACCAGAGCAGACAAGTAAATAGACCATACCTAATAAAATTGCAGACCAAAATTGTTCAAAGAGAAAGCAAAAAGAAAATTGCAAACAATTACATTGTGCATAAGTTCCAAACAGTAGATGGATTTTTAAAAGTTTCTTGGCTTGTTTGACATGTTGCCCATGCAAATCAATTGTTATCACATTTTCTATGTCCTTGTTTCTGCAGATTAGAACATTAGCTTAGTTTGTCTACACTTGTGCCAATTTAGTTTGCACCTTCCCCTAGCCAATCGAAAGATAAGAGGTAACATTA